ATAACTCATTATTAGGTGAAAGTCTCTGGCTCTTCATTAGGACAGCTTTAGATTTTAGGATATATTTATTTAAACCATAGTGTTTCAGAGCTGTTAACAGTGACCAGGTGTAGATGATTAGTTCTGTCTGTCTTAGTATTATACCGTTATACAGTTTTTTTTTTATTTTGTTTGTTTTGTCTCCAAGGAGAAAGGAGTGGATCTTGAAGGCTTTTCTAACTATCTCTGGACTTAAAAGGGAATTCTTCTTTTACATGCTGGGAATTATGCAATGCCTATTTCTGTGAAACAATAAACTAATATCCCTTGAAGTAGTGATAAATACTTTACTAACTTGTCATATTCTTAAAGGAGAGGAAACGTTGGATATAATTATAGACATTAAAAAAAATCCACTCCACTGAGGGCAGGTGCTTTGTGCTCATGGTTCCTATGTCTCTTGACTACCAGTGCTTTGAAAATAATGAGGAAATGTTGTATCTGAATTGGACACGCACAGGCTTTCCTCTCTGTCATTATACCCTAAAGGATAGGGTATAGCATCTACTTACACACTATGTATACAGCATTAAGGATTACAGGCAACTTTCACCGATAGGAGGCATTGAATAGGATACACGACAAGACTACCCTAGCTTATATAGGATTTGAGTAGCCATAGATTTGGGTATCTGTAAGGGTCCTAACCTCAATTTTCCATATAGTGAGAGATGACTTACACTGTCAATAGGATTATTTCATTCCATCAAATGGAAGTTATAATCATATTTAAATGCATTTAAGACTAATATTATTTGCCATGCTGCTTTATTATACACATTTGAGGTGTAAAACACACTACTTACACACATGTATAAGTACATAGCGATACAATTATTACAGTCAGAAAAAGGAATGCATCCATCTTCTTACATACATTTTTTTTCTTTAGGCTGTGAAAGTGCCTGAAATCTATCCCTTATTAAATTCCCAGGATACAATTCGATGTTATTGCATGTAGTCCTCACAAAGCACAGTAGTAACCCATTGGTTCCACCTTTTTCTCTTTTCTTAAATGTTACAAATTTTTTTAGGGAACTGTAGAGCCCATGACTCATCATTCACCAATACTATGGCAACATGGAAAAAAGTATCTGAAATGGCTTTGGGGTCCTTGTTGTTACTTTGTGTTGCTTTAGTTTCGCAGGCGGGTGGGACTTCCTGAAAGTGGCACTGTAGCTCTTGTCCTGACAGTTCAGTGTGACTTCATGCTGCCCTTTGTGTGTCCATATGTAATGTGAGCATTAGCATCCATTATCGAGTTTCTTTCAACTACAGCACTGCTCTGTTGGTTCTTAGGGAAAGGCTATTCTGACGTACATTCAATTTTATCCATTTCTTCTTGAGATTTAGTAGTTTGTATCTCTCCAGGTTCATTTTATGAGCTGTTGAATTTACTAGCATAATATTTTCATGATTTTATTTTAATAGCTATATTTTAACAGACTTGTTGATCATTTTTGTCATTGTTGTTGTATTGGCGTCAATATTTGTCTTTGTTTTCATTTTATTATCTTTCAAAGAATTAGGTTTCATTATGGCATTTTCAAACAAAATGTTCACGTTGTATTTCTCTCCTCCTCCTCCTCCTCTCTCTCCTTTGTGCTTTCCCACCCCCAGGAGCATCCTTTCTGCTGCCATTTCACCTATGATCTTGTGATTCCTCTCACACACACTTTCTCAACACTTCATTATTGATACATGTTTCTGCCTCTTCACATGTCTGCTATATATGTGACTCAGTGTCAGAACAAATAAAAGATAGTTCAGTGTGTGTGTGTGTGTGTGTGTGTGTGTGTGTGTGTGTGTGTGTAAGGAATAGGTAGTATGGTTTGGTTTCTAAGTATAGACATAAACCTTCAGAGGTTTTATGAGATAGGTATTTTCCCAGATATACTTGGTAGCCTAGTTAAAAAAAAAACAGAACATAAATGATAATGATGATAATGATAATGATAATGATAATGATAGTGGTGGCACACGCCTTTAATCCCAGCACTCGGGAGGCAGAGGCAGGCGGATCTCTGTGAGTTCGAGGCCAGCCTGGTCTACAAAGTGAGTTCCAGGAAAGGCGCAAAACTACACAGAGAAACCCTGTCTCGAAAAATCAAAAAAAAAACCCAAAACAACAACAACAAAATATTCTAATGAGTGGAGGGCTTGAATACAATTTTGCATCTGTTTATAGCATAGTTTTAAAATTTATTCATAAATATTCTTATATACATATTTACATGTTCATTCAGTAATAAATACTTTATACGTCAGTGGTGGTGGCACACGCCTTTAATCTAGCACCCAGGAGACAGAGGTGGGTGGATCTCTGTGAGTTCAAGTTCCAGGCCAGTCTGTTACACAGGAAAATCCTGTATCAAAAATGAAAATAAATAAAAGAAATATTTTGTGCTTATATTCAAAAGAGGTGAAAAAAAGGAGTCTAAATCATCCCAAAATACATATGTTCTTCAGTCTTTTAGGGTAGAAAATATTTTTGGTTTTAAACTTTCCTCATGTTCCTGATGTGTCGGCATGCTCACTGTACATATACTACAGCTTTTCCTGTAACCGGGTACTGATAGAGTGAGTCCCTGGGGACCACTCGGGCGTCTGAGTTAGGAAGCCCACATATGGGTAACTTTCTGTACTGTGTTGATTGCAATACTACTCATAAGAGCCAAAAACTAAAACAATTTCAGTGTCCTGTCTCAATGAATAAATGAGGAAGATATGGTACATATATATTGGAATACTCTTCAGCCACTAACGATCGTTATGTGGAAAATTTACTCTTTGTAAGATATTTCATAGAGCCAGCTACAATCAAACAGGACTCAACCACTCTCACAAGGAGAATAATCTGTGATAAATATTTATACTTATCACATTAAATATAGCACAGAGAAATGGAAGTGAAAAATCCCTGGTACTTTCATAAATAAAAGGCAATTTGACAAAATTTAAATTTTGTGGGCCAAAAATTTCAGAATCCTTTACACGTTAACTTCATTATCATCACATTCAGTGTTTCATAAGGCCTCAAAGCTAGGTATACCATTTCCTTCTTTTTTTTTTTTTCCCGAGACAGTGTTTCTCTGTGTAGCTTTGCGCCTTTCCTGGAACTCACTCTGTAGCCCAGGCTGGCTTCGAACTCACAGATATCCACCTGCCTCTGCCTCCTGAGTGCTGGGATTAAAGGCGTGTGCCACCACCGCCCAGTTTTAAAAATGTGTAGCCCAGGGTGGCCTCGAACTCGTGATCCTCCTGCCTCCACCTCCTTCAGCAAATCCTACTAGCCTGCACCATCACAACCGGCCATTTCCTTCTTAAATAGCTTGTTAGAGCTGTACTTTCCTTAAGTTGGGCTTTGTTTTGCTGTGCTGACTAGTGGAAGTCATTTACTGCTATGTACAATTCATTTTATGATGTGTCTGCGAGTATTTTATTTCACAAAATTAATGTTGTGAAAGTGTAATAATTCACAGCTCCTCAAGAAGTTTTAATAAAGGTGTGACATTTTCTGTAGAGGAAGTGTTTCTCCAGGTGGAAAAATGTCAACTGCCTTTTGCACAGTTCTCAAATACTGTAAAGCTTGGTATTGGAAATTACCAAAAGTAAACTGTTGAAAATCAAAGTGACCCTATTTTAGTTGGTGCTCAAGTGTAGGTTATGTTCTGCTGTCTCCTTTCAACAGAGATGGACTTAAATTGACTGACAATTTAGGGAAATAGCTAAGTTCTCTTCACTTTGCTTAGCTGTAGCATGTACAGAAAGGGGCATATGATCCTCTGTGCTTAGTGAAAGATGGTGGATCTAGACAAGCAATGTGGCTCCAGTTCAGCTCAGGGAAGCATCTCCAGAAACATGTGCTTTACAATTTAATTCATAGACATTCCCCAAAGTGTCATATTCATATCCAGGTCATTTTTTTTTATCATCTCACTGTATTGGACGTCTATTGCTGCATGGCAATTATCTTCAAATTTGAGGTCTTAAAACATTAATCTTAATCATCTTAGAATCAGTATTAATTAGGATCTAGACCTGTCTTAATTGAGCTTCACACTTTCAAATTCTTCTAAGAATTGGAACTCATGGTCCTGTGGACAAAGCCTAGAGCAAATGTTTTCTCAGATTCACCTTGAAGAACAATTGCAGTATGCTAGTGTTGATTGATGTTTATCACTGTGACAAATACCAGATAGAAATAAATGATTTAAGTGAGGAAGATTTCTTTTGGTTCCTGGGTTTCGATATGTCAGTCCGTTGCTGTGGGCCTGTGCTGAGAAGGAGTATCATAGGGTGAGACACTGGACAGAGGGACACTGGAACCGAGTTGCTCACCTCCTGGCAGCCGGCTTTGCCTTTTATCACTCTCCCTTTGTTGTACAGTGAACAATAGTCAAAGTGCTGACAGAGGATAACACGGCAAGGTCTGAAGAAGCAGAATGATCAGAGATAAAATTCTAGCCCTAAAAGTAAAATCTTAGGAAAGTGTTTTGAACACATTGTCATGAATTTTCAGGGAAAAAAAAAAGACCTTGAATATGGTTCTCACACTACTTATGAACATTCCTAATAGTTCTGAGAAGTAAACATCATTTCTAATGATTATTTTTTGTTTGTTTGTTCTTGTTTTTTGAGACAGGGTTTCTCTGTGTAGCTTTGCGCCTTTTCCTGGAACTCACTCTGTAGCCCAGGCTGGCTTCGAACTCACAGATATCCACCTGCCTCTGCCTCCTGAGTGCTGGGATTAAAGGCGTGCGCCACCACCGCCCAGCTTTCTAATGATTATTTACATTAGAAAGATTGGTTTTAGTTATGCAGAAATGAAAATACCTCTGTTTAATGACCTAGAAGTAGTGACAATTAACTGTTTTACTTAGTTCGTGGTTTTAATATGCAGCCATTTCTACTTGGTTATAAAAATTCTATTCCTCTCTTTGTCTCCCTTTTGTAACTAGACTAAGATGCTTGGTGAAGCAGCTGGAGAAAGGCGATGTCAACGTTGTCGACCTTAAGAAGAATATCGAATATGCAGCATCTGTGCTGGAAGCGGTTTACATCGATGAGACGCGGTGAGCCCTAGCCCCTCCCACTTTCCTCTCTGTTGCTCCTCTTCTCCTCCTCTTCTTCTCTCCTATACTACAAAATTTAGCGATTCTTAATATGAAACAAAAGTCAAAATCTTATTAAAATTTAGAGTTTATTTTCATATAGCTAGTTAACTGGGATGTTATTCCTTTTTAAAACATTATACTTTAGTCCAAATATAGTACAATGGTCAAACAGTAAGTTTATTAAACAAAAATAAATGTCTTGCTCCTTCAGCTTCACCATCTCTAGACTTTTAAATTGCATGAGACATAAGTAGGCTTAAACTAGTTGTCCCTAATATAAGAGTTTCTCCTGTTATCTCATATTTCAAAATTACGAGAAGAGGGGAGTGAGACCCAGAAGATGAATTCATCAGAGCGTGTATGGAGGGCTTCTGAGGTTTAGTCAAGTATCCCATGCCCCAAATCTAGCATCGCAGGGGGCAGTTGGAGAAGGCTTGGACAGGGAGATTTATTTGAAGAGGGTTGTCAACATAGTACCGTGCCTCTTAGCCAAATTCCTTATCCCTCACAACTATTTGTAAACTCAAGTGATTTGAGCAGTTTCTCCTGGTATTCAGAAAACACTGAGGTAGGTTCTTGATTTTTCCCACCAGAAAATGTAAAAGTTACAGGAAAAAGAGATTCAGAGCTAAGAGAATGTGCAGAGGCACTTCCAGAATTCTGGTCAAAGACAAATGGGGGCATTAGGAGAGGTTTCTTGGTGTACCAAAAGAGTATTGATGTTCGATGGTGAAATGAAAGGCTGCTGCAGTGATTGCTCATATGGGAGTCACAGCTGGAACTCCATCAGGGCAGTAATAATTTCTGAGAAAATAAAGGTTCAAGGTATACTCTTGAATTAACTATCTCTGAAGGACCCATAAAAGGTCCATGATAGCATCAAAGAACCAGAATTTTGGAATTTATTATGTAGAGTAACACAAACAATCCATTAAGATCCTTAACCTATAACTCCTCATCCAACCTCATCATTGAACTACCAGTAATAGGAGAGTGAGCAGAAGACAAGGAGTGTGTACATGCCTCCGGGCCGAGGTCAGGCTTGACTTAGGCGATGGTGAGAACTGTTAAATCCGGGATGGGAGTTTTGCCTCTGTGTACTGGACTTCACACACACTGTTATTTAACAGGCAATAAATTCATATTATTATCCATGGTCAGGATCTGGGCAAGGTGTTTTTAGATTCTTAGCCTCTTATTCAAGGAATTGAAATAAAAATTTGTGCTTACCTGTTACAGTATGACTCAAAAGTCAAATATGTGAAGAAATGATTCAGGAAAGTCTAGCTTAGTCCCAATGTTCTCAATTCCCCTACTGAATATCATGTATTCTTCCGGTGTTATATTAAAGTATTTTATTTTGTATTTTTCTCTCCTCCTTTCATGGATATTAGATTAGACCACACATAGGATTTTATTTTACTTGTTTCACTAATCAAGAAATTTGGGGGGTCTAGAATCCCATGTTGAACTTTTATAGGCCCCACAATTAAAATGCCTTTAGTTCTGAGAGAAAGATTCACAGCGAAGGCTGTTTGGCACAGATGATTCTTCCATGGTCATAGAAAGTAATTCCTCGGGTTTAGAGTTATTAAGAGGTGGAAATCACAGGTTCTGTTTAACTTTATGATCTTCCCTGAGTTGTTTGCTTGGGTGATGTTCACCGAGGACAAGTGACGGAGGTGGTCATTCCAAGGGCACAGAGTCAGGTGTGTACTAAATGCCAAGGGTACTCTTAGAGTTTCCTAAGTTTTTTGCTCTTAGGTGCGTTTACTTACTGTTCACAAGTTGGTTGAACTGAGCAGGCCTAAGGGTTCTTCAATCTGCTTTTGACAAGACATTGTATATTACATTTATTTATAAAACATAAGAACTTTAAAATTCAACAATTCTTTGGAGGTTTACAACATCTTGCAGCTTTACAACATCTTGCAGCAAAGTGCTAATTCTTATTTGCCTAAATGTTCAAACTGTCACTTGATCGATGACATGCTACATTTACTCATTCACAGGTAATCTCCTTCCCATGGCAAATATGACTTCATGGTTATTTTGCTAGCTTAGGTATCCATGATCCCTAAGCCATTTAAATATATGTTACATTTATAATGCATTTACATTTGAAAACTACTCTCTAGTAGGGTAAAATGCTCAGCACAATGGTAGAAATTTAACTTCTGTTATCTTATTTATTGGTTCCCCCCAGCAAAATATAACAGTTTCTAACGCCACATTAATTAATTAGTCATGTAGCTCAAGCTGGCTGTAAATTCACCATATGGTTGAATAGGATCTTGAACTTCTGATCCTCACGCCTCACTCTCCTGAGTGCCGAGGTAATAGGCTTGCACCTCCATATCTAGTTTATGTAGTGCTGGGTTTCAAACTCAAGGCTCTGTGCACGCTAGGCAAGTGCTTCACAAACTGAACTAGCCCTGGTGCCCTTCTCCTTTTTTGAAATCCTTCCACAGCATTATGTTCATTAGAATAATATAATGCCTCAAATTTACACCATCTTCTAAAGGCTACTAGCTCTCCACAATATTTTGCAATAGTCAAAGTGATTACTTTCTGCATTTTACTAATGGGAACACTAAAGCTCATTTAAAGAGCACAGCAGCCCTATGAGATAGAAATTCTGTTATTACCATTTTGAAAATAAGGACAATGAATCACAGAAATATTGCATAGCTTACCCAAGAGAATACACTGAAGAGTGCGTTAGCAGCTCTAGCTTTCTTGACACTAGAGATGGGTTATTAACTATAATGCACACCCTCATACCTTTATTTACAGTTGACTCCTAGGTATTTTCAAGGGCTGGAGTGATTGCTTAATGTATAAGAGTACTTGCCTCCCAAGCAGAAGGACCTGAGCTCTGATCCCCAGCACCTATGTGAGAAAGTCAGACATAGCTGGATCATCTGTAACCCCAGTGCCAGATGGGGGCTGAGACAGAGAACATCTGGAGCTTACTGACAGGGGAAGACGGAGAGCTTCAGGTTCAGTGAGGCGCCTATCTCAAGGGAGTAAGGTCAAAAGAACTAGAGAGTCATACCTGATATCTTCTGTCTTCTAGGTGAGTGCAGGGACCCACCTACATACATGTACATACATATACAACACACAGACACACAGAGACAGACAGACACACACACACACACACACACACACACACACACACACACACACACACACACTTTCCGAACTTTTACAGACATTTTGATCACAGATGCTTAGATTCCATGGTATGTGGATAGTATTGTCTCTCATCTTTTCCCAGTTATGCCTTTTTGTCAACATACTATTGCCTTGAACTGGGCTGAAATGGAACATTATGCCCTGGAGAACATCAAATGCTACACACTGGAATTTCGTCTTCCCTGGAAAGCTCATGTCTATGCATTTACCATTGTGCCAGCTGTTAGACCTGAGACCGCCTCTCAATAATCTTTCAATTTTGTGCCGGAAATGTGTACTTAAGGTATTTTGAGCAAAACCATACAAGTGATTTCCCATGCATTTTGTAAGACATGGAGTAGGGAGCTGAGGATCTCTCTGAGACATGTTTGCAGTTATTAACATATTATTTGCCTTAGGAATTCTAGTAAAACAGATTGTATAAAAGAAGGAAGAGTCAGGCAGCGATTAGTTGCTTGTTAATTTATATTTTAAGATCTCCTGGTTTATGAAAATTTGGATCTGGAAATTCTCTCTAGAAAGAAATAATTCTGTGAATGTACAATAGAGATAGTTGAAAATTGGCTAGTCTAAGGAAAAGGTTAACACAGGGTAAAATAGGAATTGCTAGTTAACTAGTGCACACACACTTGCATGCATGCACACACGCACACATGCACGCATCCTTCTTCCTACTAAATATGAGTGACTACAGGGTTTCAGTTAAAACAAATCAAAACAAAAATCTCTCTGTAAAGACGATTTTGGTTAGAAAAATAAAATTTCTGATAGAAATAGAAGCATGACTTTTATGGAGATTATAGTACAATCTCACAGTGGGTTTGGTCATTTGTTAGGTTTTATAAAAGATATTTTCATACGTAAATACCAAAATTTGTGAGTCTTTCAGATGCATCTCTAGAGGCTAGTATTTTTCAAAGTTACACAGTTGTAATCCATGTGATCTAAAAAGAATCCACGTGTTCTTGTTTGGGTTGTAACACAGCCAAGCAAAGTAGCATCCTTGACCTCATGAATAACAGGGTAGGGAGCTACCTTGGGAGGCATACTTTCAAAGATGGACATTGTTCTGACTAATATCTCAAAAACATAACTATTTTATTTTAGTTAATATGAACCAATCTTTATGATTATAATGATTAGAATTTAGAGTCTGGACTTAAGAGGAGCAAGGCATTCAAAGTCAGAATCCTTCACTCAAAACTAAAATAAAGTTACTTAATCTAGAGTGCTTAGCTTTATCACTTATGAAATACAGATGAAGGTTGACATGAGGATTAAATGTGACATAATGCCAGGAAGAGTAAAAGTTGGATTGTAACCATTATTTTTATTACACAGGTAAAATACAATACACTTTGCATGCCTGGTAAATAATACATTGAGATATAGAATTCAAACCTCCTAAAGAAAATGTCAAATAATTTCCTGAAAGCAGTTTGAAGTCTTGGATAAAATGAAGACAACCAGGAAATAAAAGAGATGTACAAAAGGGTGGAAGGAGACTTTCCTGTGGGTATCTACCTGCTGACACATCCTCACTTGATGAGCAGGTCTAACTAAGCCTATGAGTAGGAACTAGCTTGAGATAGGTATACTAAATTGAGACTGCACTGATACCAGTCAATACCAGTCAATCCAAAACGTTGCACTGGCAGACACTGAATGATAGTCAAAGTACCAGGGAGGCTAAGAACCTTGGAATCATTCAGCCCAGGAACTGACCAATGAACTTCCACTGACCTGTCAGATATTGA